AATAAAAATGGATTTCGTTCCCATAAAGTAGGAAGTATAACTGGCTGAGTACACTTTCTTCAATGACATCACCGAGTATTGGACTGCAGGAGTTTAGGGGTTGATTGAAAGGGTCATTTTGAATGCACTTTAATCGCACGTATTGCGACATGCGATTCGCATGGAAGTGAACCCTGGTCAGTTTGATCCCTGGGATGGGGACTGAATCCAAGGGATATTGGGTGTTACTCAACCAAAAATACTGCATTCCACGACGTGTTTCGACCCTATTTACCCGCATCGAATGGAATAACAGGACTGAAACCCAAGCCAGGGACTTAGGCAGTCAGCCGAAATCTCTAGCCCCCGATTCGCGAATGATAAGACTTGTCGCAACGGCCAATAACTGCCTAGCGGAGTCATTCTGAAGCCTACTTTCTGCGAATGGATTGGGACGCGTATTGTTCATGTGGACCGCGATTCGGTTTGGGATGAACTTGGTTGGTTCGGTCTACAGGACCGCATTTGAAACCCCTAAAATGACCACCTGCGAGCGAATACTTAGGTATGACAATGTCCAGACCTACGGTGAGCGATAGACTCCAAAATGCGCCATCTTTCTAGTAACCACTTGTAAGCCTTCGATTGAATGGAATTTCCATGCTCAGGGGCACAGGTAGTTTTGCTATACTATCGGTTCCAAAAAATACTCCATCTATTACGAATGTCGCGGATGTATCATGAACTTTGAGGCATTTTAAGTAGATTAATCACCACAGAAAGCCAAGCAAACTGTCCAGCCTCGGCAGTTGTGTGAACAAATACACACTAATAGTTACTACGCGTGTACGGACACGACATCAGCCCAAATTGACACCTCGTCTTCGTGTTACCACGGTTAAGTAACGAGTCTGGTGCCTTCCCGCAGCGTACACAAAGCTAAGGATTGGTCTTCCACAGCTAGCGGTTCTCATGACGAGAATACAACAATTTGTTGGCCTAGCATTTGAGCAAATCCAACAGACCGCCAGTTAATTGCAAGTGGACTTATATATATATATATATATATATAAACAATAGGCTAACATTTAGCCACAGTGCCTTTCAAAACCATGGAAATCAACGAAGGTTGACTGGTAGACTTGTCGCAAGAGAAACGGGAATTTTTTGTTTTTACCGTGCGCCATTTGCTTCTCGTTATTTTGCATTTTTCCATTTATAAGCTTTCCTATTTGAATCCAAGCAAGTATGTACACTAGTTTTCCAATGGCTTTGGTTAGGCGCCATATCCTGAATTATTTCGAGCCATCGACGCTCTTTGTCCCTCAATCCACAAGCAGACAGGTGTGTGTGGATCCATTGTCCACTCGCAAAACTGCACAACCACTTAGTTGTTCAGATTGAGATAGCACGACTGTAACTCCAGTCAAAACCTCTATTCCCACACCATTGAGTCGCTTACAATGCTAACCATCGAGCTTTATGAATCATTGGAGCGTCACTTTGAACAATGTATTAGGCGAATGGAGCAACTTCCTATTTTGTTCACATAAGTTAGAAATCAAAATAAGCGAAGAAAAGGTGAATAAATAAATAGCCAAAAACGTTTTTCCACTGTCACGAGTCACACGTGAAAGAGTGGTAAATCTAGGTAATCGCGATCGCGCCAATTATCTCTCCCGTTTAAAGTGCAAATATGAGCACCATGTCAATTGGCTATATTATTGCAAATGATGTGAACTAGCAGGCAGGTTGGAGAAATCAATGATTGGTTTCACTCGAATCGACATTACTACGGCGTTTAATGGTGGAAAAACGGTGTCTGTCGTAGCTCCAGCAAATAAAGCAGCAGCCTCTTAGTTGGCTTGGAAGCTGTTTGCTTTCCTTCCAATTCGTAGTTCCGCACCTATTACATCCGCACGCAATCCACTGGTACCAAACCAGCTTACTGCTGGACTTCACTTCTTAAAGGATTGATTTAAGGGAGCAAACTAGGTGTAAAAGGCATCCGACCTGCGAGTGCTTATTTCGACTGTCTATTCTCCTTACGTTTTATGGCTGTGTCGTGCAGGAAATTGCCATCATCGCATTAGGATTCAGTTTATGCGTCGTAGACAAACGGAGAACACCAAAGTTTTAGTGTGACTTGATGGGCATTACACTGTGATGATAAGCGCTCTATCGTTTAGACTTCGTATCTTTTCGCCCAAATTTCGCTCTGCCTACAAAGATCATTGAAACCTGTCCGCTGCTAAAGGGTTTTAACCATTGTAGGAGAGTGTTACGCTGCTTATCGGGGAATGGTCACTGTTGGAGTCAATCTTAAGAGACACAAGACGATTTCGTTAACTTGAACTGGACGTAAAGGTTCCAACCGGTTTATTGACACCAAATGTATTTGGACCTCTCTCTCTCAGCATAAACCTGTGCTTCAGCCTGGTGCTGTCAAGCACCAAAGTAACTATTTCACAAAGCCATCACAGGCGATCGCATCTGCATATGGTAGCGACCCTATTATAAGTATGCTGCTTCAACGTGAGGAACAGCGTATTAAAAAAGGATAGAAGGAATACCTTCAGAGATAAAAGCTTGCAATAAGTGCAAATCCGTTTCTTTCGTTAGGAGCAGAACCCGAAAATGCATGACAGTACGCAACGCAGCATGGCGAGTGTACAGAGAAGCTCCAGCTCCAGAAACTTGGGACAACTACGTAGCCCAACGTAACCACTGCACTCAACTGCTAAGAGGAGACAAAGTCGCCTATCAGCAGAACATCGCAAAACCTTCAGTGCTAACCACAAACTGCTGTACAAGCACGTTAATAGCCTACGAAAGGTGAGGCAAGGATTTCCTCCACTCAAGACGGCCGATGGCCTAACGAGAACGTCAATGGAAGCTGCAAACGCGCTGCAGATGCAATACGCCCCCACGTTTCAAAGGGTCTTGCCACCAAGCGATCTACCAAGCTTTGTCTTCTGCTCACCAGGACTAACCCACATCAATTTTACCGCAGAGGCTGTATTGCAAAAGCTGACTTCTCGACGAAAACACAGCTCGCCGAGTGTCGACGCCATTCGTCCTGAGGCATTGGGAGTAGCAGCAAACCAACTGGCAGGACATTTAGCTCAGATTTTCAGCACTGCTTAGACCGGAACCAAGTTCCCGCCATGTGGAAGCTTGGAATAATAAGCCCGATTCACAAAGGTGGAAGCAGATCTGATCCCTCCAACTACCGCCCAGTAACCCTTCTTCCTATACTCTCCAAGGTCATGGAATCCATAGTTGCCGATGCACTGGTGTGCTATCTGGAAAACTGCAACCTCATCAATCCTGAACAGCACGGTTTCCGTCGACAGCGGTCATGTACAACTAATTTACTCATTGCACGCAGTAGTTGGACCGAGGCAGCCGACGCTGGAGAAGGTGTTGATGTGATCTACCTGGATTTTTCCAAGGCTTTCGATCGTCTAGACCATCGGATACTACTATCCAAGCTGCAGCATTACGGGATCGGCGACCCTCTTTTAAGCTGGAGCTCCAACTTTCTATTTCAAAGGCAATTAATGGTCAGAGTTCGGAGCTCTTTATCGGACCCCATACAAGTGGAGTGTGGTGTGCCGCAAGGCTCTGTTCTAGGTCCACGTTTGTTTCTGGTGTTTATTAATGACCTTGCACAGGGAATCGCTTCAAACTTCCTAATGTTTGCCGACGATATCAAGATCTGGCGCAGGATCCAGGCGAACACCGACCAACATGTGCTCCAAAGGGACTTAGATACAGTGTATCAATGGTCGATCCAAAACTTATTGCATTTCAACGTCAGTAAATGCAAGGTGCTTTCCAACCGACATCACGGCAGCTACTCATACCGACTCGGAACGGATGTACTGCAACAATCAACTCTCGAACGTGACTTGGGTGTCCTGGTTCAAGATGATTTGGGTTGCTCCAGGCAATCCGAAAAGGCCTCGAAGACCAGGAACCAACACGTGGGGCTGTTGAGGCGGGCGTTTGGACAAATAAACAGCTCCATATTTCGACAAATGCTCTGTGCGTATGTTCGCCCCCATGTAGAATATGCAATTCAAACCTGGCATCCATGGCTGAAGCACGACCTTAATGCACTGGAGCAGCCTCAACGCCGGGCATCTAAGAACGTAACTGGAATGCGCAATCTGTCCTACCAGGAGAGGCTGCGACGACTAGGATTGTTCAGTGGAAGCTATCGCAGACTACGAGGCGACCTGATTATGGTATACTTGATTCTGCGAGACCCACATCATGTGTGCCGCCCTTTACTGCAACTCAGCAGTAATACGAACCTGAGGGGCCACTCATTAAAACTCGCAGAACAATACAGTCGTCTGGAGTGCCGCAGAACTTTCTTTTCCATCCGTGTCTGTCACCCGTGGAATGCTCTCCCAGAATCGGTCGTCTCTGCACTGACACTAACAATATTTAAAAGACAGTTGGACGATGCACTCATCCACTTACACTTTGTTACTTAACACTATGTCTCTATCCTACACCTGGAGTTTACCCTGGAATTATTTGTTGTTAACTGTGTGTGCTGTGAATCTAAGTGGATCGCAGGACTGCAGCGAAGCAAACGATAAGTCCTTATTTTCGTATTTAAATTGTTAACTATTTTACTATTCTTTTCATCATAATTATTACGTTGATATCCCCACCAACTATCCAACGGGACTTGTAAAGCAACGCTTCTTAACCCGTATAATTTCATTGTTCATTGTTTTTCATTATGGGAGTTGCAATTCAAGGAACTTAGCTTTGCATAGTAAATTTAAGGAGGCTCATTTAAGTGCAATACAGCTAATAAGTAACTCACTAATTCCATGTAATTGCTGGTTCTCAACGAAAACCGTCCTGTAAGAATTATTTTAACGTAGAAGCCAATAAAATTAGTGAACGTCTATGGGTAAATTTTGTTTTTCCCTACTAGTGCCCTACCGACCCTAACTTACTCCACTAATCTCTACTTCTTATGTCTGTCAATGCAGTTCACGGGACAACGAATTCAATTTGTTGCAGCTCGCCAAAACTTCTTCCCTTGAACTGAACAAACTGGATGAACTTATCAAGAAAAGGGATGTCTTCCCTGAGGGTTACAATACGGAAGCCGATCTCTTACGGAAAGAATTGCTACAAGCTGAGAATGAGATTCTCTGTAAAGAAGAAAGGTATGATGAACTTTCGTATATTATGGATGGATTACGTGAGGAGAGAAAGATACTTCAGCGGGAATTTAACAGAATGCCTAAAGAGGGGGTAGGTTGTGAATAAGCATGAGAGTGAAATTAAGAATTTTTTACATTTATATGAATGTTTGTTAGGTTGAATTTTTGTTTAGACATAAAACTGACTGCTCAAGGAGTGAAGTTCAGGCATTTGTGACCGTCGCTGTAAAGATCTAGATCACTGAACAACAGCTGGAAATGCCGCTGTTGTGCAACATTGTTTTCCAAGTCAGCATAGATTGTGTACTATACTCGATATTCCGCGTTCCAAATGCGGACGAACTGACCTGGCTGAAAATGATGCACAGAGTGTGTACGAAATCGGCGACGTGGTCATGCAACGATGGCACTCCGACGAGCGAACCCAGAACAAGCAGATTGGCACGGGACGTTTATTCGCTCAGCAGATCGCGTAGTCAAAAACCATTGTGTGTACATAAGCGACCAAATGTGGGTAGTGATGTAGAGAGAAACGAACATTGAAAGAGGCAAACCAGCATAAATACACAAACATTAGTGCAAGCAGATAAAACAAATAGTCACGGAAGTGCATCTATAAACAGCTCGGTTCCAAATCGCTTGAGCACAATTGTGCTATTCAAACAATCAACCGTACCTCATTAAAATGAAATAGCTCATTTAAACTGCTGTCGCTATCTGATGAGGTCAGATAGGATCGAAACGCGTCATGGAGTATAGCATTTTCGAGCTATCACTATCCAATTATTTCCCGCTTCATCAGCTACGGTCCTAGGGTGATCGAGTGATTAAGCTTCCACTCCATTCAAATCGCGGTCCACATTATTGGGACTGAGTGGCATACTCAATCCACACAACGTGCACTTCAAAGCGGCCCTCAAATCAGTCATTGACCGTTGTACCAAGCCTCGTTCCATCGTGACCCGGTGACTTAGGGATAACGATCACGATTACCATCCCGATAGTCCCGGGTTCCATGCCATCTATCTCTGTTTGGTGAGAACAAATGAGCTCGAAACGCGTTGTAGAGTGCGGTGTTTTCGGGCGGGCAACACTCATTTTCCATCTGATACAGTGGTACTACGTTGTGAAAGACAGTTATTGGTGGTAGCAATTGGCTGCACACACGCACCAACTTACCTGTCACTGTGACTGTGAACCCCCGTAAGAAAGACAATTAGTGGTCCTCGTTGTGTTACTCCCAACCTTTTCCACCTTTCCCATGGTTGACGCGAATTTGATTAACTGTCAGTGGGGAATATGCGGATGTCAGCCACAAGTTTTTCGGACATATCCACACTTTTCTAGCACGCTTAACAAGCAGTATTTTTGATTTTTCATGGTAATACTCCGGGGTCCGTCGTATGGGATGACAATGCCCACGACGATAGCGCACAAGCGTTTTGTGGACGCTTGGTTTCTGTGTAGTCAACTTCGAACAATTACTCATCCTATGGGATGGGGAAATTTACTTACCAGATATTAAACTTAACTCGGCTCACTCAGAAACCAACGGGTGATTTAACTGCATTGCGTGAATCTGGCTTTGTAACGACTATCGGACAATTAAACTCCCCCGACAACCATCAGTACTCTCCGGGAACTAGTAGTACTCTATGCGTTGTCAAAAATCCTCTCGTTCGCATCGACACCAGCTGCGTCAAGCAGGAAATGCCGGAAACTGGTCGGTAGCCGAAGTTCACAGGTTTGGACGCCACCTGACTACAGCAATAAAGCGATGCCTATTGCGTCAGCCTCAGAACCGGAAAACGCATAACTCCTGACGAAGATTGCTGAAAAATACATCCAGGGTCATAACGCGCACCAGCCTAAGAAGTGATGGATGGTAGTTACGGACAAAGTCATAAAAATCTTTTAAGGCAATTTAGGTAGGGTGGTTCGGTATTGGACGAAATTGATACCAATAGCCTATGCCAACGGAGATAGTGGTCTACCTTGTAGACCTAGCAGAAATGCATGTAAAACTATTCTTTATGGCAGATTTGTTTGAATCATTCCCAACTCGCATTTCTGGCCAAAACATCATAGTTGCTGCGTAATATTTTGGTTATGATCATGTACAATATCTCGTTTTACTTACTAGACGATGAACATTAACTGATGGGTTCACCGACTAGATGCACCCACGTCAGTTGCAACGGATGCTTTGTGCGAAGACTTCATCAATTAGTATAGTATTTCTGGTAACACAACGTTTGCGTATGAAGAAATATTTGCTGATGCGTGAGCTTACACAACTCCAGTACACCCATCCATTCCACTTAGACCCCTCCCCCCAAAATAATTGAGATGGCAGTTGGATGATCGTGAAACAATGGTATATTACGAGCAAGAAAGTGAATGCTTAGCAAGTCCCGTACGATGGCCAAACTGCGAACCACATTAAAATGAATTGAAAACAAAGGGATACAATGAAAATCATTTTGCTGAACTCAGCGCAGTGCTCACACAGAGGCATGCATAAATGAGAAATCTCAGTAACGTAGGCTAATTCTAGGTTTGCGACTTGTCACATTATCTCGTCTGTCAAGACACGCAGGCTATATCTCATAATGTAGATGAGTCAGAGAAACCTTAATACACTTTTAAACGCAGGTAAATTGAGAGCGGAAACAACGTTATTTGGGAGGGCTTTCCAAGATTGACACACACAAAGAGAGTAAAAGTCCCGTCGAGATTCTAGCCGACTGTACTGCCTGGTTAACTTGAACTGAGGGCCCACAAATTCGTGTTGTGGCTCAATTTTACTAGGTGGCGGCAAAGTGCTTGGGTTTCATCAGAATCTGGTAGGCCATAATAAGGTCTCCACGAAGGCGCCGATACCGGCCGCTATATACTTTTAGCGTCCTCAGCCCAAGTTGACAAGGAAGGTTGAACAACCCTTTGACGTTTAAAATGTTTCGAAATACTGGTAGCTCGGGTTGATGAATCAAGGTCTTGGTTGTTCCAGGGTTGCCAGACCTGGATTTTATATTGCACATGAGGCCGCAAGTATGTGTTAAGCAAGTGCGGACATACAGATGGATTAAACCGCCCAAATGCCCTCCGCAGCATGCCAACGTGTTGGTTCCCGGTCATTGATGCCTTCTCAGATTGTTCTGAGCAGCCCAAGTCAGCCTGAACTAGCACCCCAAGGTCGCGCTCCTGGGTGGCTGCGTGCAGGTCATGGTCCCCAAGATGGTATGTGATCCTCGGTTGGTGGCGAATGTGAACCACCTTACACTTCCCCGAAATGAACCGGAGCAGATTGTGAAGTGACCACACATACGCTCTGTCCAGGTCTCGCTGAAATGGTTCATGATCTGCTGGGTCCGCGACCGTCCGCCACATCTTAACATCATTAGCGAACAGCAAGAAATCTGAGGCAAACAAGCCCGTATGCTCGTTAATGAACTCGAGAAACAACGCGGTCCCAGAACCGATTCTTATGGAACTCTACATTCGACATGAATCAGATCGAAGAGTGTACTTCGAACTCTAAACTGCAGTTGCCGATCCTGCAGGAAATTCCTGAACCACGGAAGGACAGGATCCCCAACTCCATAGCTGTCGAGCTTGTGATGCAGAATGTGGCGGTCCAGTCGGTTGAAGGCTTTAGAGAAGTCGCGGTAAATGACATCTATCCCTCCACCTTTATCTGCCGCTTCTGTCCAACTACTGTGTACAATCAGTAGGTTGGTAGTGCATGAACGGTGTTGGCGAAAACCATGTTACTCGGATGCTGTGATGTTGTGGCGTTCTAGATGGTCTACTAAATACTCTACGATGATTGCCTCCATCAGCTTTGCGAGCGCAGGGAGGAGGATCAATGGGCGATAGTTGGCGGGTTCCGAACGTGGACCGCTTGTGAAAATTTGTGTGATTAAGCCATAGTTCTACATGGTAGGTACAATTTGCTTATCCAAACACGTTCGGAGGAAATTCCAGAAGGGTCCGGCCAGTGTTGTTGCTTCTACGTTCAGTGCTGTCGGGTGGATGTCATCGATTCCGCGCGAACTGAGAGCAGTTTCTTCAACACTGATGTGGCACTAAAGGCGATAGTAAGTGCCGAAATCGGAGGTAGGGATGTAGGTAGGTAACAGTGACGGACGTCACGTTGGTAGGTTGGGGTACACTGCATTCGTACGCGCGCTGGCTGCCTCTTAAGCACTCTGAGTCACTCCGACTGCCGTGTTGGGTGAATGTATACTGTGCTTCAATTTGTGGATGGTGTTAATATATTTACAGAGAGTTTTTGTTGTTGGCAAATTTGGTAGATAACTGTTTTCAGTGAATCAGTTTGTTCTCACGGACAAGTATATTACTATCCGCTTGGTCACCTAGTCGCTCCAAATTTCTGGACAAGGAGAAGCTCTGTAAATGTACCAAGCGGCATTCTTTGGTGACACGCGTTGATGGATAGTACTTCTGGTGAAAGACGAGGGGTTGGTGGAGCCATCCATATTCCTTTCTTAAGCAGTTGCGAGTAGATTGCTGAAGAGTCCAACAAACTGAATCCGGGTGCTGTCAGGAGAGCCACATTTCAAGCATTCGAAATTAACGTATGGCACTCGTGGTGACAGCGGTTAGGTCGTGTGAACCGAGTGGTACCGGCGGATAATGAGGTCAAGCAAGCGCCGCCAACGCCATCTGATCGAGATCACAAGTGAAGTGCGAAATGGTTGCAGCAGAACAGGAGCCGGATTGACCCGCACAAAAGCAAGTAAACGGCACTCTTCCGATGATGTACCTTGACTGACAACAAACAGTGCATTGGTGGCTTTTCAACTGGCTGAACTTAACCGAAACAGAATCAGTTGGTAGAGAAGCAATACCGTATCGCCTACGTTGGGGGACCACGATCGCAGTGCACTGAAGTACGTCGGCGAGTAGGTGTGGCGTTGCATTAACCACACCTTCAGCTTTCGTTGACGTGGGAAGTGACGCATCGTTCAATACGCCATGTTACCAGATGTTGTAGGCCTCCCGAACACTTATTTCACATTCAAAATAAGATTTTACGCTGAATATACCGAAGGCTAGAAAGAACGTCCGCTCTAATTTCTTCCAGGTCAGATATAGCTATTTGTAGAATAAGCTATCAATAACACCCAGGTCATGTGACAATGTGGCAACATTTAGAGGTGGACTCGCCAGTTACCTTGATCTGACTAACATATTTACGTGGGAAAAATCCCTCGATGTGTTATTCCAAGTGGAGCCCAAAAACATGAAAAACTAATGTTTTCCTAACTAGGCTTTGGCCTCAACCATCCGCCAGGATGTTAATACATAAAACGAATATCCCAATACTCCATTTATGCATGTCACCCATGCAAGAGAATGGATTCTTCTGCACAAATCGATCTATGCAGCTGTAGACACAGTTTCTCTCATCAAGAGAAATACACGTATGCTTATTATTAATGTTATTATTATTAGTATTGCCAAGTTACGTGAAGCGACTTGCGAGAATGAATCATCATTGGAAAGTAGATGGGTCAGAATACCTTAATACCAATGTAGCAGACCCGCATGTTTGCTGCTCACTTTGAATCCAATACACCCGGTCTCGAACAGTCTCTCTCTTCCTTCAGGGGCCCGCCATTGTCTCGTTTCTTGCATGAACTCTGAAGTTTGTGTTCTATTGATCCATAAATGTGGGTATACGCGTGACACGGCTCTTCCCTGGCATGCAGATTATGAACTTTCAGATTCTGCGGATTCTTGGTATTGAAGAGTCTTAATAAGACTTGCCAGACATCTGTCGTTATTTCGAAGGTGCGGAGGCCACATACTTGAGTCCATTTGTGACGGGTCTTCTCAACTCAACTAAATAAAAAAGTGAATGGCAGCCTATTTTGGACAGACTTGTATAAACTCTCAATCGATTCGTTGATCGTTCTATATATATTAGTACCGTCGTGAAGAGGTAGAAAAGCTGGTCGCTTGTTTGTTGATAAGTCTTTTAAACATTTCATGCATGGACAAAGCGACGGCATAAACCTTTGCAATATGCCTCATGGGACAATTATTCCTGGGCTGTACGCGGAGGAAGTTGCCGATACTTTCAGTGCTTAGGTTAGACTTGCTGTAATTATTTGCTTACAGAATAAGACATGGTGGCATTAGCAAACAATTGCCGTCAAAATCCACGGGGATGATATCAACCCTCAAGGCAAAATCAAGTGCAAGCAGCAGGTTTCTTAATGTGGTTTAGCATAATAAATAGCAAGCTGCTTCAATGCGCTGAGGCTACAGTTTTCCAGATGGTTGGTGATACTAGGGATGTGGAAAGAAAGCTTAACGGAGATAAATTTACTAGTATGGTAATGAATATGATATAAATGGAGTCGTTTTCTTGGCGGATTACAAAATAGCGATCTTTTGAATCCATGGTTGACGGGGACCTTGTTCTCCTAATTACAGCACATCACACAGTTGTCGCCGCTGTGGCTTTCACCCCACGACCGCAAAAAGGAATCCAAAGACGAGCCAGAAAGAGACTTGTATACATGAAATCACATTTGCTTATATAGTTTTGAACGCAAAATGAAAGGAAACTACTAAATTACACTTCAGTCAACCAACAGAAGGAAAAACGTCAAATGCAATGGGCGAATAAGCAACCGTGTACTCAAAAGGGAATCCCATATGTCCTCAAAACTAGCATCATGGGACTCCAAGCGCAAAGCAAACATCCATTTACAGTGACGGACACTGACCAATCAGAATAACGAAATGAAGCGTTCAAACAAATGTCACGAAACAACGAGAATAAGAAATGCGGACCCAAAAAATTAACAACTAGTGCAATGATCGTGTGACAACTAAATATTCCTTTAACATAACCAAGTAGAACAGTGATGAGAAGGAAAAAACCAAAGGAATGTGTACTTGCAAATAGCACTGCTGAAAAGGACATGACGATGAGCGTCCATTAACAATGACGTGGGTGTTCCAATCGGGCTAACTCAGTAAAGCGTTTAAACCACAGTCAGGAAGTAGAGAATAGGAAAAGTAGAGAATAGCTATTAAGCTCGTTCATAAAAAATAAATGTCTAATAGCTGTTCTCCTAATTCACGCAAACTTCAGGATCCTGTTGTCAGTTGAGCCATTTTGCATGCAAAACTGTAGCAGAAATTTCAACATATTTTGAGTGGTTAGAGTTTGGTATGATTTCTGTGTAGAATGGTTGCTGAGCTAACACAAACTCCATCTTGCCGCCTTTCGAAAAACTGTTGTGGGGAGGAGATCCAATAGCTATTGTATTGTTTTGCTTGGATTGCATCCAGTTCTTTCATACCTCAGGACACTCTTCGGTTAACTCGAAGTCGACCTGAGCTCTCTCCATCCAAACCACAAAAGAGGCAGTTTCGGCTCTACTAAGCTACTTCAGATTGAGAATCGGGGTGATGAAAGAGACTTAAGAGACTCCGTCGTTTGTTGGCCTTTATAGGAATAAAACACATCACAGCAGTTGAAAATTTACCTACAAGTTACGAATTACTCACAAGTTGTGTTCATTTTCCTCATTATAAGTTGAACCACAAGTCGTTTCGTTGTTAATCTCAGTCTTCTCGAACAATAATAATAATAATAATAATAATACTGCATCAGTAATAGGCCGGTACGCAGTACCAACGGTTCGCTGCCGTGCAATCACCACCAGTCACACCTCGGCCAAGGACGTTATGGAGTTCGCCCGGTACCTTACGCAGCCTAGAAACCGGGCTCTCGTATTACAAGGCACGTTTGTGATGCTTAAAGCTACGGGTCGGATCGGTCTACTTGAATACTTGGATAGAAGTGAAAGTGACAGTCTGCAATCCACTCCACTCCGGAATCAGTATACTTTTGGCAGTTGCAGGTAGAGAAAGTTGATGCTGGGATTGCACTTCTTCCTTAGCAGCTGCTCAAATGTCAGAACACCGTACATTACTGAACACGTTAATCGTACTGCTCCACCTATAGCTCCTCGTACCAAGTTTGTATAAATACATTGTTTATGAAGCCAACTTCTCGAATGACCGTCTTGCTCCATTATATCTCCGTAGGAAATTGACCGACTGAGACAGCAACTAGAACAAGCTATAGAACACCTCCGTGAAGACATCAAAAAGCAATCGAATGATGGTAAACAGTTGTTCCAACTTCTCAACGAAGCCCATCAGACAATGGCGGAAGAACAGACCATGGTCTCTGCTACAACAGCTCAGGTGGATGAATTAAAGGTGAGACTATTTTGCTGGTCATGCAACACAAGTATCACAATTGATATAAAGCGCCTGAAATGAAATTTATCATATGTATCTCAGTGAGAAATTCATCGACCTCAAGTAAAGTGCCTAACTAGAGCTTTATATTTTCAAAAGCCAATTAATCGAATAGGCTCGTTTTCGGTGGTTGTCATCAGGCTCGCTTGTGACGTCCTGATATCCCGTATATAGGTGAAAATGTCTCGCGCATTGTATTGACTATTAGCGCCGACCCAATGTGATAGCACAGGTACTTTGAGAAATGTTCTCGAAATCTTTCAAATAGATAACTTGTTGTTCTCCCAATATAACGCTCGGTACCAGCAATCCCAGTGTGTTTTCGGGAGGTTAGCACTGCTCTTCTACTTAAAGCCAAGACCTTGTTGGGCGGAGCCTGGGATACTAGTCGGTAAGCAATGACACGTAAGACTTGTCAAATACGACAGTATAGAAGTCGGAGGCGACTGAACCCAACGTATATTGTACAGGCTACAAGAATAGGAAGCGAATCAGACAGAGCGAGAAACGTACAGCGAGGAACTCACCAAAACGGTTTGTGACAACGGACGTGCAGTCAGTAAAAAAATGGACGTTTCGAAGGTTAAAACAACCATAAAATCCAATGTTACAAGATACTGAAAGAGCATGTTTTCTGTTGCACTACAAGGGCCTCCCCCTAGAAGGCCGAAGGATGGAAGCCTTCGATAGAGCTGTTAGTGGGGGAAAATGGAAGGTGAGGGTGGATGCGAATATTTGCAGAGGCTTGAGTAAGAGTTTCCAAAGTGAGGTGTGTAGCAGATTTCGCTGGGTCCAGGCTTTTGTTAGTTATTTATGACGATCGTGTGGACCAGAGTGCATCATCGGTGGGCCGTCGGGGCGGGCTGGTCGGACTGCGAAAAAAACTGGCTAGTCCAAAGAAAGGCCGACAGGACCTTCCCTTTGCTGCAAACCCGACGGTGCGCTTGGGAGGTGTCATTCCCCCCACCGCACTTTAGTCCACGGTCCTCGTCCCACGAAGAATTGCGGGCGTCCTCGCCTCACAAAGGTATGCGGGCGTCCTCGCCCCACGAGGAAATCCGGCGTTCTCGTCGGCACTGCCTAGGCGGCTTTTGGGGACCAATCCGTTCGTGGGTTTCTGCGGTCGAGGGCGACTGTTTGTTCCTTGGGTGAGGAAGGGGGTTTTGGGACGACTGGCGAGTCACACCAGGGTTGCGTTGAGCCGGTTGGCGAGTCAGTCGAGAGTTGCCTGGGCAGTTCCGGCGGTTGGGTTTCTGGAAGGTAGAACTCAGAGAGGATGAGCAACGGTCGGGGAAGTGGCTTGACGCCGGAGAGGCATGTGTGATAAAAGCAAATACGCTTTTTAGGTTTTCAAAATGTTTTGGGTTTTTTTTGTCGATTTTGCAAAACGTTTGTGGGTGAGACGCAGGATAACCAGTAAAGACGAAAAAGGCGTGTTAATGGAAATAGCAAACGTTTACAAAATCGGAAAAACGGTCCGGACGTTTGACCTGTCTACCGCGTCGGTCGGTTGCCTGGGTTTGAGGCGGGAAAGGTTGCGGGTCAAGGGGTACGGAGGGTTCCGGACTATCTACTGCTCGGGAAGTCACCACAGGTGCGGGTGCTTGTGCGAGAGCACCAGGATGGGTTGCAAGTGGCTCGTCAAAGAAAGCCACTTTGAGGCGGTCGATGGACACCGTTGTTCGGTGACCATTCTGGTCTAAAGTAAAGTGTTTCGGAGTCCGTTGCAGAACTCTGAAAGGGCCAGTGTAGGGAGGCTGGAGAGGGCGCCGCACTGCGTCGGTGCGGAGGAAGACGTGAGTGCAAGTAGAGAGTCCGCTGTGCATTTGCACATCTCTAGTCTGTTCACGGGGTGGGGTCGGGCGTAGTGAACGCATGCGCTGGCATTGAAGGCAGGCGCGAGCCCAGGTACGAACATCTTTGTTTACGCGTGGCCAAACGAAACGTTCGGTGACCAGTTTCAAAGATGCACGGATACCGGGATGTGACAGTGAGTGCAGTGCGTCGAAGACTGCGTCTGAAGGAGACGGGCACGAGAGGTCTAGGACAACCTGTGGAAGTGTCACAGAGGATGGTTCCTTCCGTGGTTTGGAGAGGAACAGGTTGCACATGCAGCGAAGTGGACTGCAGAGTGCGCTGTATGTCTTCGTCTTGAGCCTGAGCCGCTGCCATGGCGGCAAGGTCGACGGTAGGCAAAGACTGCAGAGTGAGGTTGACGCGTGAGAGAGCGTCGGCGACGGGATTGTCGACACCTGAGACATGACGTATGTCAGCAGTGAACTGCGTGACAAAGTCTAGGTGTCTTGTTTCCCGTGGTGAGTACTTGTCGGAAGCAGAGTTGAAGGCAAATATAAGGGGCTTGTGGTCAGTGTAGACCGTGAAAGCGCGGCCTTCGAGTGTGTGCTGGAAGTGACGTATCGCTAGGTAAATGGCCAGCAGTTCTCTGCCAGACGTGCTGTAGCGGGATTCCGCTGGCTGCAGGCGCTTGGAGAAGAACCCAAGGGGTTGCCATTGCCCACCAACGTGTTGTTGGAGGACGGCTCCTACCGCGACGTCTGAGGCATCAGTCGTAATAGAAAGAGGTGCAGACGATTCGGAATGAGCGAGGAGGGCTATGTTGGAGATAGCATCCTTGAGGTCGGCGAAGGCTGCCTGTGCTGTGTCAGGGAAAGCGAACTTACGTTCATTTCCTCTGAGTAGGTCAGTCAGTGGCTGCATGAGCTGAGCGCAGCGCGGAATGAAGCGTCGATAGTAGTTGACCAAACCACAAAATCGACGGAGGTGCTTGAAGGAAGTCGGAGCTGGGAATTCCTTGATTGCCTGTATCTTGTCAGGAAGGACTTCGATACCAGACGATGAAACGAGGTGGCCTAGGAATTCTACCGTTGATTTGCCGAGTTCGCACTTAGTCGGGTTGACTGTGACACCGTGTTGGGTCAAGCGCTGGAAGAGAGCTCGAAGATGCTCGAGGTGCTCTTGTTCCGATGAACTGGCTACTAAGCTATCATCGAGGTAGGAATATGCAAAGTCTAGGCCACGAGTAACATCGTGGATGAAGCGTTGGAAGGTTTATGCGGCGTTGCACAGTCCAAATGCATCCTTAAAAATTCAAACAAACCGAAAGGAGTGATTACGGCTGTTTTAGAAATGTCATTGTCTTCCACAGGTATCTGGTGATAGGCACGAACCAGATCGATCTTGCTGAAGATCGTCTTACCTGTGAGGGATGCGGTAAGGTCCTGCATGTGTGGGATGAGATACCTATCTGGGACGGTTAGGCGATTGAGTGCGCGGTAATCACCGCAAGGGCGCCAGTCGCCAGATTTCTTGGGGACCATCTGTAGGGGCGAGGACCAAGGGCTGTCGGAAGGGCGGATTATTCCAAGTTCAAGCATGTGCTCAAACTCTACCCTAGCTACCTTTAGTTTCTCAGTCGATAGTCGGCGTGGACGGCATGACACAGGTGGGCCATTCGTCCGTATGTGGTGCGTGACTTGAGCTGCCACGGGCAAAGCTGCGTTCATTGGCTGAACGAGCTTGGGATACTGAGAAAAGAGCTTAGCGTAGACTGACGAGGTCTGGGGAAATGCATGGACCGGGGATATAGATGTCACATCGGCGGTGCTGCCACGTACGCTGAGTTTTGTTGCAGTGTCGACTATCATCTGGCGTTTCGCATCGATCAAGAGGTCGAAATGCCTGAGAAAGTCAATGACGATGATGGCAAAGGGGACTGCAGCGACAGTGAATACCCAGCGGAACGTGCGCCGAAGACCTAGGTCCAGGGTAAGTGACCGATGACCATAGGTGGCTATTGGCGTGCCATTGGCGGCACTGAGACTTGTCGACAGAGAAGTGGTAGGCTCACCTGGCATAGGGGGAATGAGGCTGACTTCAGCCCCAGTGTCAACTAAGAACTGGGTATCGGAGTCATAATCCCTAATGTAGATGAGACGACTTTGAGATTTGCCGACACTCGTGGTCATTACAGCCCGGCGTCGCGGATCATCTATAGCGGAGTAGCTACACGGCTGTACGCACTTACGGGCTTTAGTACCGAAACGCGAGTGGTAAAAGCAGTAACCTGTGGGATCAGGTTTTGTGCGACGGAGCGATGATCCGGAGCGGTTGCGGTGCTTACGGTTTAAGGTGAGTTCTTTGATCTGGCGCTGAAGCGACGCAATCTGCAATGATAATGCGTCTATTGCCGACGGAGGGCTAGTCGCGCCTGTCGTTGTGGTTGTGCCAGCGCAGAGCTGCTTAAGTGCTTTGGTTTCAGTCTCTGGCTGGTGCCGTTCGATGACGCGGTCTGTTAGATCTGCAATTGCTGTGATGGGCAAATCACTTGCTATTGCAAGGATAGCCTGTGTGCTTTCAGGAAGGCGTTGCATCCACAGCTCGCGGAGAACCCGTACGTCCATGTTGGACGTGCCGATGAGCTGTTGCATTTCACGCAACAAGGCTGAGGTCATCCTATCTCCTAGCTGCAGATCACATAATAGTTGCTGCAGACGGACCTTGTCAGAAGGCGTGATTCGCTGAATAACAGTCTGTTTAAGGGTCTCGTATTTCATTACTAGAGGGGGGAAAAGTATGGTGTCTCTCACCTGCGATGATATATTCTGAGGAAGGCAAGATATTAGCTGGTTATACATGACGAAATCAGAAGAAATCTTACGAATATAAAATACGGATTCTAAATGTAAAAACCATAATAAAGGATCATTCTCCCAAAAAGTGGGGGCCAATGCAACCGAATTGACCATCGCAGGTTGAACGGCGTTAACCGCGCATGGAGACGGCTTGTCCTCTAGATTATCCATTGCAGAAGGCAGATAAAAATGTGGTAGGTGAGAAAACAATATTATCACAAGTAATGAATCACAAAATCACTGGAACGAGCTCACCAGAATGAAAATGCAAAATGGCGTGCTGCGTGTTCCTGACAGGGGGTCACC